TGTTTTCTGTTTTGTTTTGCTCAAGTGAAATCTTTTCTCTCCACATCCAGCAGTGTTTCCTTGAGTCTTTGAATTCTGTGTGTATGTGTGTGGGGGTAATATGCATTTTTCTCACCTCTGTAGCATATTGAACCATTCTAAGGACATAACATTGGCTGAATAAGTCATTATTGTTTATTAAACAATATGTAATATCTAAATATCTAGTCAGAATTGTTCCACATAGAAAAGTTGCATCCTAACTTACTCTGTAACATAAAAACTGATTCATTTGGTCAATAAATTTGAAAACTGCAGATTCTTACTAGAAAGCATCCAGCCCTTTAGCTGAGTGTTCACTGTGTGTAGATACCCTGTGTACTGGGTCTGGGAGCAATGGAGAAGGACCAGCTCCAGGTGCTGCCCTCAAGGTTCCTATAGTCTATTATTGAAAAGAAGCCATTCAGATAACCATCAAGGGAGTCCAGTGTACCTGCCCTAGAACCAAACTGCTAGGGTTCAAATCATGACCATTTATTGGAAAATTTTGTGTGAGTCCCTTAATCTCTTTGGATCTCTGCTTCCTCATCTGTGAAATTAAATTGTAATATCTCATACAATTATTCTGAGGTTTAAATTAGTTAATTCAGTAGTTAATACAGATAAAGCACTTAGAGCAGAGCCTGGCACATAGTAAGTACTCTGTAAGTATATCATATAAATCAAGAAAATCCAATAAAAGCTATCAGTACACAAGTTATTCTGACAAAGAATATTTTCTTTTTTAATCTTGACATTAAGATTTTTATGATCATGAAACCATAGAAATTAAATAAGCATTTCCTCTCTGAGACCATTAATTCATTCTTTGTGTTGGTGGTTCAAAGGAGGAAGGGACGAGTGTGCAGTTTTCCATTCCGTGTTTTTTTCTAAATATCATTTTGAGAAACTAATCTCTATGAGAGGTCTGAAAAATGTGACTTTTATAAAAGCAGTCAAAACCCTACCTGACTCCTACCTGACTCCTACCCCAGCTCCAAGGATTCTGGAAGTCACTGACATCTGGGCGCAGTAGACCCTCTGAACAAAGGGAAAATATGTCAAATATTAGTAAAGAGCTGTAACCTTAAGGAACAATCAGATTGATCATTTTCAGTGGTATGCCATACCATAGAGAATCAATATGTAACTGGGGATCAAAGGAAAGCCTTGGAGTATGGTTACCCCTTGGTTAATCCCCATGTAACATGCATGACCTTACCACTTGGTCTTGGGTCTTCTGGAGTAAAACTTCTTCTGTAAATAAGTTTTTTGAGAACTCAGGAGAAGTAATTTATTTTTAGTATTACAAGGAAGTAGAATGTGAATGAACTTGAATTTCTATTAAAAATTAATAAATTCTCAGAACAAGATATGACTGAGTCCACTATTATATTTGCTGATGGGTGAAAGAAAGGTTTGCCTGTGGTATAGTGGAGAGACCACTGAGAGCTTGTGAAGGGGCACCCATCAGGGCCTGGTATATCATGATATGACAGCAAGAGCCACCACTGGATCAAGGAGATCCTAGACTTACCAGAAACTCCACAAGAGAAATTAAAGTGCCATACACTGTTTGGATTTTTCTTCCTTGTGGCAGTGGTACCCTTTTCGCTCTTTTACCAACCTACATCGCTTCTTACCAAGAAGCCCTCAAAGATTCCAAGAGAGAGGCAGCCATTTTGTTTCTCCGCTGGGGTAGTCCATAGGCAGAAGGTAGAGCTGTTCCTTGGTACTCTGGGTTCACCATCCAGAGCTTGGGCAGGTCAGCAACCCTGGAGACCCAAGGCCTGTGGTGTGGTCACATTATTTTCAGTTTCTCTGGAGAAGTGAGCATTGTAGGGGACCCTTGTTTCTTTACATCTTGTGACTATTTTAAAACTATGCTAGGGCCTCATCCAACACAAGGGGTTTATTTCCCAGGTTCTGAATTCCCTTCATGTAAAGTACTGCATGGTGGTCTGATTAGTGCTTATGAGATGAAAGACAGATTGTCTCCAACTTTGGTATTTAATATGTCCTTTCTCTTCCCAGTTTTCTTATATCTTCCCCATCTCTCTCCTCAGTTCTGGTATTATTTAATGTTTCCATAGCATGTTAGAGCCGAGTTCTTGTGATCATTTTCAGTAGTTATACAAGAAATCATGTGCAGAACATGAGCCAGTACTTAGCCAAAGCATGAAATGGAAAAACACTGCCAAATCCAGCTTCATAACCTTCTTTTAATAAAACTCTACTGTGTCATTTAGTTTCGTCTGTTTTTAAAACTTGAGCCTCCATCAACCTATTTTAGGAGAGGGTACTACAAGGTCCACTGCATAAGTGATTTAGACTTATAATTGAACTAAAAATACAATGGACCACTTCCTAGAGTTAAAAAAGAAAAAGAATGGGAAAAGACTTATTTGAATAAAAAATGTTTCTTGAATATAACAATCGAGTTTTAAATTTTTGCTTATTTTCTAAAGGTCTATAGCATTTTGGAATTTCTTTGTGTTTTCCAGAGCAGATTCCATATTATAAAAGAGAAATTTCTACTTGCATTGTTACCTAATCACAAATGCATTCCAGAATAATCCCTGGCACATAGTAGGTGCTCCATAACTATTCCTCGACACTTTAGTATTCTACATTTCTTCTTTCTAGAGTATTGTTTCCTCTTAAGCATAATATTCAACAAATTCCATGTGCTATTCTATGATATTTCATAGGCATTTATATAATAACTCTTTACCTCTCTAAAATTCAGCCATTTAGCTCTCTCACCAATGTGGAACCTAACTGAAAGTAAAGAAGAAAACAACTGATACCTACTATTACAATTTAATAGATTCTGTTTAAGAAGGCAGTGAAACATGATATATCTGGGAAATAAGGTGCAGTGCTAGAGTCAAATGTATCAGGGTGACTGTCAGCAAGTCGATTCATCTCTTTGGCTTTGGTCTTCTTATCTTTTTAAAATTTTATTTAGTTTTTTTTTCATCGAAGAAAACATTTGTTATAGAACAAAATATAGAATTTTAATACATTTTTAAGATGAAAGAGAAAACTTCAACAAAATCTCAAATTTGAAGTAGGCTTATTCTGATTGTGCCCCATATATCTTTTTTTTTGCAAAGCTACAAGGAGGTTTTCTTATCTTTTAAATGTGAAAACTGTTCTCAGTGATCTCAAGTCCCCGTCTAAGACTTCTCTGATCCTATGATTTTCCAGCTGCTTCCTCTTTCCAGGCCTTTTTGTTTATCTGTAAAATGAGAAGGTAGAAAAGTATCAACATCCTAATTATATGTGACTTATTTAAAGGAATAAACTTTTAGCTATTCAGAAAACCTAGCTGTCCAGAATGGCCATTCCTCCAGGGTGTTGTTTAGTCAAGGTTTTAATGTACATTAATACATGGTCAAAAGGACTGATTTAGTACCTGGGATTGGTTAAAACTGTGGAAAAGTCCTAATTCTTCATAGGAAAATTGACCTTATATAATTGCCATCTTGTTGTTGGATGTTTTCTCTCGCTGCTTTTAGGCTAGAGTTCTGTTTGAGATAAGAGGGTGTGTGTGTTCGTGCGCATCACATAGGAGCCTAACAGGGTTAAGTTTTTCCCCTAACAGTACTAATCACTCCCCGCCCCAGGTTTCTGTTCCACAGGGAACTGTTGATAAGTGGTATCCAACTGTTGGACTGCCCTGCATCCCAACATCTGTTCACTGTGTTGGTATCTGCTTTCAAAAGTCTATGTTTATAGAGCTGGTTGGTACTGATAGAGAGGAATGTCCTAATCCTCTGATACTGGGCTCCAAAAGAGGCAAGTGGGGCAGAGAATGAGAAGACAGGAACTTTTGGTTAACTGCTAATGTGTGATACCTAGCCATAATCCTTTCTAAGCATTGATGAAAATAAGTGACAGGATGGGATCAGCTCTTCTATGCCCAAGATAATTTCACCTTTTGGAAGTAGGAAGATGAAACTAAGTCTCATTTCTCTGCAGAGGACAGGCAGCCCAATCTGGTTGCCTTACGAACTTTTAGTAGCCCCCAGTGACCTGCTATGTGGTGTCTCGGTTTCTTTCTGATGTTGAAGCCCCTTTGAATTCTAGCCATACACACAACTCCTTCCTATGCATCCAACCTTATTTCCCACAATTCTTCAACCGCATTCTAAGATTCTCCGATGTGCTCTGTACATTCTCTTACAGCTTTTGTTCATTTCATTTTTCCTAACTGGATGTTCCCCTTCTATTTGACTACTTAAATCCAAACCCTTCTTCAAAATTTAACTGAAGTCCACCTCTTTCATCAAGTGTTCCCTAAGGACTCCAAGCCTTGGAATTTCTTCAGATAACCCCAAGTTTAAATTTACTTATATTCTTCCCTGTAGAATACATTGTTTTTGCATTCTGCACAGCTATAGGCACAGAATAGAGTACACACTGGGTACCCTTCTAAAACTCGATCAGGGGGTTAAGTTACAAACATAGTCTTATAGTCGGTGTGTTTATAAAGAAAGATGTGCTCATGTTCCAGACTGGCAAGGCAAACACAGTGATGGTAGAGGCCATAGCAGGTCATGCACCGTGGGCTGGTAAAGGTAGACTCTACTACTGTATTTCATGGCTGATCCTGGAAAGTTATTTGTAAAAAGACTTTGAAATAATTGAAGCATTTAATGTGAGTGAGTGTGTATGTGAGAAAGAGACCGAGATTGAGAGACAGACAGGGAGGAGGAATGGGAGGTACATGGAGCTTGGTTATTTAAGGTAATGCAATGTATATCCCTGCCCTCTCCCTTTTTCCCAGCACATACCTTCCTTTTATCTAATCTTGCTCTAGTCCACCTCTTCAGGAAGCAGGCCAGGCCTGCTAAATGGGATCCATCACAACTGATTCTTAAATTCATGGCCAAGCCTTTAAAGTCAACTTGATGGACTTGCAATTTCTGTGTCTGTCTTTGCCCCACCATTGTCTCTTTCTTCTCCCAAATTAGGTAAATCCCACAGCCCAGTGTACCCACGCCCTGTTGAAGATGATCTACTGCTCGCACTGCCAGGGTCTAGTGACTGTGAAGCCATGTTACAACTACTGCTCTAACATCATGCGAGGCTGTTTGGCCAACCAAGGAGATCTTGATTTTGAGTGGAACAATTTCATAGGTGAGCAAGTGATTAATGTATTTGTGTTACTGGAAATAACTCAGCTCCTGACCACAGAGAATATTGTCAGCTATGAAGTTTCTTTTCATTATTTAATGTTTGCCAGAGTTTGAACTGTACTCAAAGTTCATACCATTCTACAAATTAATGTTCTCTCGAACTAATGATGGCATTTCTAAAGACATTAGACACAGTGAATACCAAGTTTAATAACAAGAAAGTGACTTGTGACATTTTCTCCCCAAAGGTCAGTTTTAGTTATATATCATAGGCTTGTATCCATGTAAATGCTGGCATACAGTTATTACTGCACTGCGAAAGTGGCTTTTAAAATGTTATATCTGTTATATTGCAACCAAATCTTCTGTAAACCGTCTGGGTACTCATTGGAAATTTGCATCAGGTGAAATCTGATTGTGGAAATTTAGGGGTTCTGTTTCTATAATGAACTGCTCTGAGGGGAATGGAAAAACTTTTGCCCTGATAATTTTAAAGGTAAATATTCTCACATATACCTAAAACCTATAAAACCATTAATGGAACCAGGCATCAATATTAAGTAAAGTGGCCAGTTTCTGAGAGGGTTAATTATGATTTCTGGGGAAAGACAAATTAAGAATAATTTAAATGTCCAGTCATCAACTCCCTCGATGCCTACTTAATGCATATGTTCTGAAACAACAGTGTTGAACCTCCGAATGCTGAGTGCTAGTGGGGCCAAGCACACATACTAATACCTCACAAAAACAAACTCAGATTTGATCATCCCCAGTCATATTTGCATAATTTGAGAATTTGTGTGTCTTTATAAGGACTTATTTTCACATCATGGGAATATGTAGGCAATTTGCTGGCTTTCAGGGGGCGGGATTGGTGATAGGGATTGCTTTTTAGTCTGCATGAGAGCTAATTACCATATTAACTCTTTTTGAAAGTGCATCAATAAATTGGCTCCAACAGATTCTTGAGAACACTGACACAGGAAAAAAGAAGATGTGAATATTAAGCACTTCGGCACAATTGTAGCCTAAATAGCTCAAAGCTAGAAGACCTGAAAAAATCTTCTACACACAGAAAAGCAGAATCCCATGAAAGGGAAGGCGTAAGATCAGCAAAGACATACACGCACAAATGGCACATCATGCCCAGAATGAAGCCATGGGAGAGATTGTTGCTTTAGAATATTTCCCATGAAAATAAAAGCCCATGACATTTGCAGATCTAAAGTTGATGTTTTTCTTTCTCTCTTTTTAAATCACACCCTCGCCCCAACACACAAATGTCAAGTTTGTAATTCACTTTTCTTTTTAAAAAAGTTGGTTAGCCTTTTCACTTTCTCCTGTAACATCTAACACACTAGTTCTCTGGGTAAAGGAGTGGAATTTGCCACATGATACAAAGAATGTATTGTGACAGCGATCTAGTTTTCCTTACTTTTCTACATATGCATCAGTAATAACGGACAGAAGGGTCTTGACCCTTGCACTATTCTATTATTCTAATGTTCTGGCTGAAACTATAACTTATCCTGTATTAAAATACAAATTCTTCTACATATTTTTCCAAGAGTTTGCAGGTCCATATCAAATTAAAACCATACTCTATCAACCAGGTACCCTAAAACAAGAAGGACTTAAGTTGTTGGTCTTATTGGTGTTTTAAAAATGACATATCTTTCAAGAAACAAAATTAAAACCTAGTGGAAATTGATAGGATTTTAAAATCAATTTTCCTCAGTTATTTTTAAATAATTTTTTTTGGAGGGTGAGGTGTATAATTGTATCTAAACTTCATTTTTTTAATGGGTATTTTATTTTATTTTTTTATTTTTAATAAACTGATATAAAAGGCCAGGGATAGTAGACATTGTTAATCTCCAGTGCTTTTTCATGAAATTTCAAAAGGGTTTAATTAATTTGCTCTGGTTGCAGAATTCAGTCCCAATTTACATGCCTCTGCTATAAGTTCTTTTTTTTTTTTTTCTTTGCAAGGAATTTTTCTTTCCTCTTTAAATGATTGCAGTTAATGATCAAGGGCTTTCTCCCCTACTTCTTTAAATCAGATCTTGGGGTTAAGTGGGGAAACTGCCAGTTGGGTCATGAAGCTTAAAATGGGGGTTTCTGATTGTTGGCCACATAGTACCTAGTGAGAAAGGGGCACTTTGTTGTTTGGGAGCGGGGAGCAACTCAATGCCAGTATCCTGAGCACTGAAATCATCTAGTTGGACTAGACCCTTCAAAGAGACTAAGGATTTTTCCAAACCTGCCTTCTAGCTGCCATGTCCTCCCTTTCCTCTCTTTAACTGCATCTATTAAAGTATTGTCAGCCTTTATCAAGATAGATCCAAATATTTGAAACACCTTGGACTTGGTTTTGTAAAAAAAAAAAAAAGGCTGGTAATAATGAAACTTTCAGTCTGAAAAATGAAACAAATACTGCCCCCATACGTACCCCCACCACCAAAAATGTCAGTTTCTGGAGAGTCCCTAAACTATGCTTAGTTGCTCCTGTTCTTTATCACATACTGTGGTAGTATTAACATTGTTTGACTCTTAGCCAACTTTATTGTCACATGTTGCTGCCAATGGGAATTTAGTATTGGTGTATTGGGATTGCTGGTGGGGCACCAGCCAGTTCCTGGCAGGAGGCAGACAGTCAAAATCCTGTAAACAAGAGACCTGCAACCTAGATCAGCCAGAGGAAAACCAAAACTTCACACCAACCATCTTTGGATTTCACTAGGCGCTTCTAATCAAGGCTGGCTGCTGCAAGGAAGAGCCCAGTTGATAGCCAATCATGACTTCCCCTAGGGGTTAGGAGTAGCTTTGGCTCCTGGGCTGCAGGCCATAGGCCGAATGTGCCCTCATTCACATTCTTCAGCTGCGCAACACACAACGCCATGGCACCGGCCCCAACAAAAGCCAGGCTTCACTTTCTATTCCCAGGCCCTTGTGTATGGCCGGGCCGGCTCAGAGTTTACAAAGACGCCAAAGAGCCAGAAGAATTGGGGTTTATGTTTCCTTTCACTCTTTCACAAACACATTAGTGATCTGGCCTTTCCTCACCACTAGGAGAATAAGTAAGTTACAAAATGTGCTGTTTTCTCTTGTTTAAATTCTGCATTTTGGATGTTTATTATCTGTCTATTCATAATATTTTTATTTGGAGCAACGGCTGACTTCTCAGCAACGAAGGAATGTCCTTTCTGTACATGACAGCTCTGCTGCTTTGACAATGATGAACACATTTAAGTTGTGCTCCACTTGTTTACAAAAGTCTCCTTTTGCTAGCACATCAAAAGCATTTTTTTCTCTCCTCAAGTACAATGGTATATTCATGCTGGCAGCCTTTACTTAGAGGTTGGAAGCGTCAGTCACTTTATTGGTGCATACCACAATGCAATCTGAAACTTCATTTGTTATTACTTTAAAAAAATTGCATTTCATGGAAATCTATTTGTGGTTTGTGACACTGGAATTGTAGTTTAGAGAAATGACCCTGTGCTTTAAAATGCTATGTTGCATTTGTTCTAGGTTGAACATGAAAGGTTGATGACCAAATTTGGTTTCATTGATATGCTGATGCCGAAACTCCTTTTCACTAGAAAGCTTAGGTAGAAAGAAGTTCAGCTGTGGTCTGCAGTGCTCTTTGAGAAAAGACACACAATCTTCTGAAAACTAGTTCTTCTAGCAGCCTTGGGCTACCTGAAGGGTGTGGACAATGTGAACCTAACTGTCCTTTTCCTGCCTTGCTTTAAGCACTAGAGTGTAAAGGGTAGAGAACATGATTACATTTACAATTTCTTCTAATATTGTCCAATAAGTATCAGGCAAAAATACTAAATCTCATAATTACAACAGATATGCCTGGAAAGGAAACTTTAAGAGATTCAGTGTGTGCTAGAAATTTCTAGACTCTGCCAACATAAAAGTGACTTGCAGAGTAATCAGTGAAGACACGCTATTGAGTACATGGTTTGTGTATACTGTGTTGTGTTGTATTTTCACTTAAATAAAAAGAGGTACATCTTTTGCTTTAAAGTAACTCATGGCCCTTCTATGTGAAATGAGAATTTTTCTTATTCCAAAAATTACATTTTTCAAAAGGTCATTATTTGAAGTCATTAAAATTCATAGGAATACTTTGTATTTTCTAACTGCGAAAGATCTAGAAGAGTTTCATTTAAAAAATTAAAGAATTGGTATGCCAGGATTTTAACTGATGTATATTTTGACTCTTGTAAATGGAATCCGAAACGAAAAGATCCTAGGAAGTCTGAAGGAATTGGCATGTTATTCTGCCTCCAGCCTTGGGTTTGTCAGCTGGGAGCTAGCTCAGAGTCTTAACAGTGACAGCCACAGACACACAAAGGAATAACCAGTATAATAGAAGATTCCTGATTGGGTTTCCTTGCTGTGGAATGAAGCATTCATCTGGCTACTTCACACTTTAAAGAGCTAGCGATACACAATGACTTAATGTAATTTGGTGTAATAGAAATAGATATAAAAACCATGAATTGATTATGATGTGTGCCTTCCCCTCTACACCCACAGGAAACAAAGACAGTAAAATAATCAGACTGATTACCCAAGGCTGAACTAATGATTTACTTTTTATGCTGTGTTCTTTTCCAAACCTCATGTTAGATGCTATGCTGATGGTGGTAGAGAGGCTAGAGGGCCCTTTCAACATTGAATCGGTCATGGATCCCATCGACGTGAAGATTTCTGATGCTATTATGAACATGCAGGACAATAGTGTGCAAGTGTCTCAGAAGGTAAACTACTGGGAAGGAGAGCTGGAGGCACCCTCCAGCTTGTGTTATGACTTCCCTAATATGATCACACTTGCTCCCATGCAGGTTTTCCAGGGATGTGGACCCCCCAAACCCTTGCCAGCTGAACGAATTTCCCGGTCCATCTCTGAAAGTGCCTTCAGTGCTCGCTTCAGACCAGATCACCTAGAGGAACGCCCAACCACAGCAGCTGGCACTAGTTTGGACCGACTGGTGAGCAGTTTGGCAGGAATGGTCATGTTTAATAACAAAGTACTGAAAACATTTGCTCAAAATGCATTTTTAGCTTACAAGTGTATCAAGTGAACCGTTTCTAGCAAATTGCATATGAGGATCAGTAGATCTGCCTCTCTCATTTTCTAGCTCAGAAAGTTCATATGTAGTCTAGGAAATGTGATGCAATGTCTTATCTCAAAACCTCCCTGTTGTTTCACCATGTATTTACTAAGCATCTACTATGAGCCCACCATTGTGCTAGTTACTGGGCAGCTCAGAGGAATAAGATGGGACTTTGCTCTCATAAAGCCCCAACAGAGAGGGAAGTGCAGATATTCGAGCTTACTAACTAAGGTGATATATAGTAAATGGTAGGGTAGGAGAAGGATGGGAAAATGTAAGCAAACTGCTTTATCCATAGCAAACATGCTCCAAATACAATAGTAGGAGAGAACATAAAGGAGGGCAAGGAGCACAAATTTCACAGAGTGGACAATATATAAGCTTATCCTGACTATAAAAGGCTTGCAAGAAGAGACTGTGTCTTATTTGTATTTACAGGGCACAGAACTTGGTGGGCCTCAGATGTTAGTTAAAATGGAGAGGTAGAGCGAACAGTGGACCTAGGCAACTCCTTTAGAATATTTCAACTCTTAATTCATTTGAGTGATTTTGTACTTCTAAGTATAAATTTGATCTTCATTTTCCTCTAGTGACTAAAGTAAAAATGAATTCCATATCACTCTGGAGATACTTTAAAAATGATCAAAACGTAAAATAGTTTTGTGCTGTTTTCTAGAGGTCTCTATTTTTTACTTCTTAATTAGGTTACTGATGTCAAGGAGAAACTGAAACAGGCCAAGAAGTTCTGGTCTTCTCTTCCTAGCAATGTTTGCAATGATGAGAGGATGGCTGCAGGAAATGGTAATGAGGACGACTGTTGGAATGGAAAAGGCAAGAGCAGGTTAGCCTCCGTTGCATGGATTTGTAATCTCTCCCTTCCTAGATGCCTGGGTAACCTTCAGAGAAGGTTTTCTCAGTTGTCAAATCTAGAGAGGTATCATGAAGCAATTCACAGTAGGTATCAACAGCATGGAAGGCTTCTAGACATTCTTAGGAATGGTCTTTGCCATAGAAGTATTGGCAAAGCACCCAGCTAATTGTACTGGGGCAAAAGTTTGTGATAGTAGTCATATTCTGGTATTATGGCTCCAACCAGGGATCAAGCTGTTTCAGTAGTGTCACTTGAAAAATTTTTAATACCTGTGGTTCTTTGCCCAGTGGCCTGGCCTTATAAAGCACCATATCTCAAAAGCCCCAACAGAGAGGGAAGTGCATCATTGTCTTATTTGATGATATCCTGTGTTCCTCCCGTACACACTCGATAACTTAAATACCCACTCTATCTCAACACTTTACTCTGACCCACCAACCTCTGCAAAAGGGTAGCTTTCAAAAAGGTCATGGTCAAATTGGAGAAATAATATGTACCCAGGAAAAGGAGAAATTCGTGTTCATTAGAAATGGAAGAATGTCCAGTTAATTGCACTCAATGGAAATACTAAAATCTAGGTAGAAATCTTTCAACTTCTGTAACTTTTGATTTTTACTGATCATCTCAATGGGGTCATTTCTCATTTCAGGTACCTGTTTGCAGTGACAGGAAATGGATTAGCCAACCAGGTCAGTAATCCGGAGGTTCAGGTTGACACCAGCAAACCTGACATACTGATCCTTCGTCAAATCATGGCTCTTCGGGTTATGACCAGTAAAATGAAGAATGCTTACAATGGGAATGATGTGGACTTCTTTGATATCAGTAAGCATTTGTGGTTCTAAGGTACAAATTGTTCTTGTATGCCTCGTGATGAGAACAAAAGGAATGAAATTCCTGGTTTTTTTTTAATAGATGATGAAAACAGTGGAGAAGGAAGTGGAAGTGGATGTGAATATCAGCAATGCCCTTCGGAGCTTGAGTATAACGCAACTGACCACTCTGGGAAGAGTGGTGATAAAGCCAGCTACGCTGATACCTGTGTTAGGGCACAGCCCTACCTCCTCACTGTTTTCTGCATCTTGTTCCTGGTTATGCAGAGAGAGTGGAGATAATTCTCAATCTTAGAGAAAAAAATGTTCATCATCAAAAAAGTTAAAAGGCACCGGTTATCACTTTTACACCATCTTAGTGACTTTGCTTTTTAAATGAATGGACAACGATGTACAGTTTTTACTGTGTGGCCACTGGTTTAAGAACTGCTGACCTTTTTTTTTTTCCCTTCAGTTTTGCAGGAAAAGGGGACTTGTATGTTAAGTCAGTTTTTGGTTCCCCAGAATCATGATAAATGTGGCTAGCAGTGTAGGTACAGAACTGTAGTTAGTTGTGCATTTGTGATTTTATCACACTTGTTTGTTTGGTTTTTTTTTTTGTTTGTTTTTGTTTGTGGGTTTTTTCTTCAATTATGATCTCACCTTGTTTCTTACAAGAAAACCAGGGTCCTTTCTTGGCATGTAACATGTACGTATTTCTGAAATATTAAATAGCTGTACAGAAGCAGGTTTTATTTATCATGTTATCTTATTAAAAGAAAAAGCCCAACAAGCAGTAAAATTTCCATTTATTCCTGTTTTAGTTGCCTTTTCTGGAGAGAAGAGGAGATGATTCTGTTTTTTTTATTGTTAAGTTAGGCCAGAATGTGAAGGCATAAGGAGGCTTATAAGCCACTTGTCAGGTGTATTCAAGCATCAATACAAAAAGAATGTTATATTTCATTTATAGCTGGTGACTGGAAGAGACTGCAGACTGCTCATTTTGGTTGAGTTGAATTGCATAAATTGCATAAAGATCACATATAGGTTTATTTCTTGAGCCCGCTTATAGTGTAACCCATTTAGAAGACTCTTAATACATTTCCCCTAGCAAGATATAAAGCCATTCAGGATATCCCAGTTATCACATGTTTACACTTAGTTTAGAGGCGAGTTTTCGTTCATTTGTTTTTTTTTTTTTTTTTTTTTTTAATCCAGGTAAGTTAACAAGCCACTATGTGCTGGTCTTCATGTCCACACTTGACCCTCTTTAAATTGGTATCCCAATGACAGAAATAAGTGGCCAACTATCTCATTTGGTCCCCTGTGCTATAGTGTTACAGATTTCAAATCCAGCCATACAGAGGGAGCTGTTTGGGGGCTAGATAAAATTGGGGTAGGTACAGCCTGGGCTCAGGGAATAGCATTGACTCTTGAGCAAAATTTTTAATCTGTGCATTTGTATTTGCGTTTGCTTCGGGGTCCTAGTTTTTTAAGAGATTCTAAGGTGTCTTATTTGAGTCTGTTTCTTACTCAGCCCCCGCTAATCTGAGAGGCGAAGGACTTGCAGTGGTTTATAGCTGTATGCTACCCTATCAGCCAAGAAGCCCACTTGGTGGAGACCTGGGTATCTAGATTTTCTTCCATGTGTTAGTTTTTTTTTGGAGAGGGGAGTTAGGAGGAAGAGTGGGAGTAAGTAGAGCTGTAAAGACTACATCTTAGTGGTGACCCTTAGCCAGGTGGGTGAACTGGCAAAGGCCTTATTTGTTGTCTCAGGCCAAAGACTAACTGCCTTGGCCCCTTAGGCACCCTTTCCTTGTGTCCTTACCAAATGACAGCTTGTAAAACTATAAGAATGTAACAATTCACTTTAAAAAGAGTTTCCAAAAGTCTTCAGAAAGAAAATTCTGCAAGTCTCTTCCTGCTTTAGACAGCCATTAAGATCCTAATGAATTCTATAGACGTTAAAACCCACAGAGAGGATGTTTGTGTTATTGTTCAATCTTTAGTTATAAGAGTAATTCTCTATTTTTATATTGAAACATAATTACTTGATAGCTCAGGGTCTACAATTCATTCAACTTTTAACACCAAATTCTGCAGAATGGTCAAAATGGCATATCAGGGGCTGTTGTAAACAGAGGCTTAATTTTATTAGAAGTAGCCAGTTATTTATTAAAGCATGATGTTAATAAAATGGGCATATTCTGGCTGGTGTGTGTAAGTGTTTTTTTGTTGTTGTTTTCATTTTTGTTTTTTTAAGAAAAACATCACAGGAGACATAAAATTGAAAAGGAACTCCATTTATGTATGAGGAAAAATGGATTGTAAATAGCTAAGCTGCCTTGTGAGAACTTGGAAAATGTGCTAATACTTAGTAACTACCTCAGTTGTGAGGAATTTCCTTTTTTGCTTAGACTATTACTTTTACTTGGTAGAAATGAAACTGGTCTCCAAAATGTGGCTCGAAGAGTTATCCCCATAGACCTTGTTGATTGTTTTTAATTTAAAATGTTGAACTCTACCCAGCTGTTTCTTTCAGTCAGGTTCTCTAAACCAATAACATTTTCCGAATTAAATATTCTTGAAGGTTCTTCTGGACTCTTACTGCTTTGTTTTCTTTCTTTGCATTTTTTTCCCTGTTACTCTTTTATTATTTAAATTGTCTCTTGCTTTTGAACTTGAACTTTGAAATAAACAAATCTTAGATTTTTCCATTCAGGTCTGACTGGATAGCTCTTGGCTTCTAACCAGCTGGCAGGCTCCTCCTCCCCCCTAAGAAAAGAATAAAGGCAAGTTGAATATTTTAAAACTTTAAGAGTTCACAGTATGAGGTAGAATAAAAGCTGTTAGGAGAATGACTTTTTCAAAGCCTCAGTTAATAACATAGGAAGAGTTTATGTTTTACAAAGTCATTTTTAAATTATTTTTCTTTCAAACACTTCACCCACTCTCTACCTTAAGAAAAAACATTTTGCGACTCTTAGATTTATATTTTATTTCAAAAAATAGTAATTAGCACCTACTATTTTGATAAAAGAAAAAGCACAAAGAATTGACTTGCATTTTTTAACTTTAGTTCCAGATAGAAATTTAACAGTTTACATGAAGTAAAATTTATCATTTGTGATTACAGAACCAAAATAAAAATAGGTGTAGATAATTGATGCTGCACTTAGATTTTAAGTAGGTAATATATTGCCAGGATTTAAAAACCAAAACATATATAAATATATAAAGGTATTAAGTGAAAGTTTCCCTCCCGATCCTGGCCATTTACCCGCAGACCCTAGATAAACTTATTAGTGTGTGTGCGCATATATGTATGTGTGTATATGTGTGTGTATATATAAAATCTTCTGAAGTTTCTTTATACATATACAAGCAAATACAATTAGAGATTTTTCTTTTCTCTTTTTTTTTAATGAAATGCAGCAAAGTATGCCCTATAATGTCTTTTTTTTTTTTTTTTTTTTTTGGTTAACTTAAAAAGTATTGAGAGGAGGGCTCCCTAAAGATACAAATTCCTATTCTAAAGGCATGGTTTCTTAGTGGTACCACATATTGGATTTTCACTGGATTGTGGACAAGATTAGGTCATTTTTCAGGAAACATTGACTTGAAACAGGAGCAATTTGGCATTATAGCCATATAATCACAGAGTGCATAATCAGAATGTTTTCTGTTCACGTTAAGGTTAATTTTTAGTTTAATTGTTTTCATATCTTTACCAGTGAGGAAGACATTGGCCAAGCAATTGGGAAGGTCCTCTTAGAACACAGCATATTTTAATACCACTGTTAATGTTTCAAATGGTTCAAAGGAAATGTTATGCCTTGGACTTTACTCATTCTATTAGAATAAAGTACTTTTAATGTTTTCTCAGTCCCAAATTCCTTGAAGCAGCATCAACTGCCACACAGGATAAAGATGAAAGTATTAGTAGGAAAATGTGTAACTAGATCTTCTTGGTTACTGCATGAATTATCTGTCCAATGGTAAAGGAGTCGTTATTATATGTAAATAATTGTCCAAGTTCAGTTTTCATGTAAGGTTGAATTTTTACTCATCAGTGTTTGAAGAGACTTCTAAGTTCGGTATTAATCAGTAAAATCTACAGAAATCCATTTCTCGCCATGAATGTCCACGTGTGGAATTAAATGCACATTTTTACTCTGCTTTTGACATTTCTTAAAGGCATTAGGAATTCTGGAAAAAAAAAAAGCACAGGATTGTTGGAAAGAAAAAGGTTTTCATGCATCAATCCTACCAGGTAAAAGTTGATGGTGTAGTTAAAGAATGAAGATAAAGCATGTGAGTGATGACCCAAAACGCTTTTCTAAAGGGTTTTATGGTCTTTTTCTCTGGGCTTTTGGGAAGTTTTGCAACAACTTCCGTGCTACTCTGTGTTCTTGTGTTTCTTACATGACAGGATTGGAAGTGTGTGTGTGTGTGTGTGTGTGTGTGTGTGTGTGTGTGTGTGTGTGTATACAGTCATCTATACACAGGGATTTGTTTGTGTATTTTCAAACACTTAATCTCAGGTAGACCTTACCCTGTCACTTACATGCTGCCTTTCCCCTCCTGTCAGTGGCATGTGCTTGGGGAATGCAGGCTAGTTTTAGTAATAGCCTAAGGGAAACATAATTAGGAAGATAAGTCTCCTGCCAAGGAAAAACACACACATGCACATATAAAATGCATTCCAGATGGAATTTCTTAGATTTAGCACTGCCTGGGATTTGCTTCATCACTATCAATAACCTAAAACCATTGATAACCTGCTGTTCTTGGGGACTCGCTGTTAAGGGCAGTTGGTACCAGGTTGGTCACAAATAAATAATCATGGTCAGTGGATGGCTTTCTGAACCCACATTAGAATCTCAGATCTCTTTTCACTGCATTTGCCTTTAAAGGTTTTCAGTGTCCTTGCTCTCTCTTTTGAAATATAATGAAACACTTTGCAGTTTCAGTTCTGAATACTTTGCAACAAGCTCTGGCAGCAGCAACAAACCATCATTTGGACATATTTACTGTAAAAAGAAAAGTGATTATTTGCTGTTTATTCACCATAATCTCAACTGACCAATGAGTTGGGATAGACAGACCTGTGTGCTCAGCACCAAGGCCAGGCCAGGCCAGGTCAATTATCTCACACATTCCTGCAGAGTAGAAATTGCTCTATTTTAAAGATGTATGAAAAGACTCAAAAAAGTTAAAGTTAAGGTAATTTGCCCAAGGGTGACAGAAAAGAAATGTAAAAAGCAAATTTGGGATGTGGTTCCACAGTGTAGCATTTAGCACATCTGCTTTACACTCAGAAGGTCCTGGGTTCATGCCACAGTGGAGCCACAGTCCATAGTCTATGGCCATGCCACTCTGAACAAGCCTGATGTCTGATCTCAGAAGCTAAGCAGGGTCAGGCCTGGTTAATACTTGGATGGGAGACCACTTACGAAGACCAGGTGCTATAGGCATAAATAATAATTTTAAAAAGCAGATTTGGAACAGAAATTGGCCTGCCACCAGGGTCTATTTATTTCAAGTGCTACCTTTCCTTCGATTACTCTTCCTCCCTTATTCCAAACAGTTTAAATCATCAGGAATGGATGAGCTTGTCAGACTTGCCACATGTCAGCTATCTTGGCCCTGTACAATGGTCAGATTAAGGGTCACAGCAGACAGTGGTTGACTTGGCAGACCTGAGTACAGGGGAAGAGTCAAGGACCACCTGGAGATAAATCTTGTAAGGTTTTTTTCTAACCTCACATAGTGGTTCCTTTGCTCAGTGTATTTTAATGCAAAAAGAGCTCAGATGATTGTGCATGTGACCTCTATGTGCTAGTTCTGGAAGAACCTACATTAAGACAAGTGATCCTGTTCTTCCTCTCTATAACAGCCTCCTAAGACTCTGTGTGAAAGGGTTCTAGGAGTGCCCTAGAAACTGCATTGTTGAGAAGTGTCAATTTACTGAACACTTAAGTAAACACAATCTGTTGAGAAAAATACCATGTTCTACAATATGGTGAATTCATATTTGCTTAATTAGCTGTAGATTTGTGAGGAGATAAATAAATCTTGGGATAAATGGGGCTCAGTGGATGTAATCTGGGCTTCTTAACCCATTTCCTGTTTGCCCCGAGAATACTTGCCAGTGTCAGAATACTTGCCAGTGTCGCTTGCAGCTGCAGTGTTTACCTGAGATAACTCACAGATTACAGTCCTAATCTCACCCCCATAGTTTGCCATCCATCTCCCATGCTTTTCAGAGAATTACATCAAGACAGGACTGATGCAGTTGGGACAGCTCATTTGAACAGAAAACATAACGAATGATATGAAGAAAAGGATTGCAAAGGGGGGACAAATGTAGCCAGATTCTGTGGTAAACTTATAGCATTGAAGTGGTATGACGAAGGAGGTGACAGTGTTGTCAACATTCCACAATGATTCTGTGAAGTAGACAATAGAAATGGAAAGAAGACTAAGAAACCATGTGTCATTGTGGATCACAATGAGAATACGGAAACAGTGGACTCGGCTGATCGGATGCTCACTTCTTATCCAACTGAGTACAAAGGAACGAGTTTTGGTGTAGGAAATTCACTGCCTTCTAAACATTTCAGTGCTGAACTCCTACATTCTGTTCAAGAAGGACAATTCTGAGCACACGATCAGCCACGTAAACTTCAGACTGACGTTGAAAGAATGCTGGGAAAACATCATGAGCCAGGGCAGCAACATCTTTGAAATCGTCTGTGCTCTGATGTTAAACCTCTTCGTTTGTCTGGAAGACACTTACCCAAGAGCATACCACTAACATCAGAGAAACAAATTCCAACTGGTTGCTGCAAAGTTTGCTGCTCACACAACGACAAGGATGGGGAGACGATCCGGAGAGAAATGTTCTGCTTTGTGTTCTGTGCTTTGAAATTTACCTCATAAAAAATTATTAAATACTAATTATATACATTTCTGTTACATTAGAATTAGAGACAAGTTTAGTTTATAAATAACTCCAGAACAGTTTTTATATTTTTGTGTTGAAAATCAGTCAGATTTGCTTCAGCCTCAAAGAATGTGTTTATGTAAAGTTAAATTAATGCCGGCAGCAAGCTGCACTTTTTTTTCTAAACAGGAAATGGGTTGAAGAGCCCTGGACAAGATTACACCTTAAAAGTTACACCTTGGTCAGAGATTAGACACAGAA